CCAATATACTGACCAGTAGTAGCTGAGAAATACTGCACACGATGAAGATTATCATCAGACACATAGAGCCTGTCTCCTACCAGCAATAAACCCCAAGGCCTTTTAAACTGTCCATTACCATTACCTTTAGATCCAATCCTTCTTACTGCAGTACCATCCTCACTAAATACCTGAACAAACCCATCATCACTACTAGCAAACACTTCACCATTAGTATGAACAGCAACACCAGTAGTACCACTCCCCACATTAAAGGGTCTCTGGTTAGTTAGTGTGGTATAGTCTCTTGATGCTTTTACTGACAGTTGATAAGGACTACCTTTAATATGGTGACCTCTTATAGTCACTGATAGTTCATATCCACCAATACTTTGAGGTATGCATGATACAATGGCTGTGTTGTTATCATTAACTATAACAACTCTACCTTCCTCTTTACTTCCATCACTTTTGATAAAGGAACCCTTCAAATAGCTTGCTGCTTTATCAATGCCTGCTGGTAGAGACACTTTGAATTTCCTTTCTTTCTTTACTGTTGCCAATGGAATAGCTAACCCACTATCAATGGAGTATGCATCTATATCTACCTCAGAGACACTTCCAAACTCAATGATTTCTTTACTTAAAGTAGACATATCTAGACGCGTTACAATCACTTCATTTTCTTCTATTTCTAGAGGTAGCTTTTTATACTCTTCAATGCATTCCTCTAGTTGATTGGTGATTAGCTTCTTAACACTTAGAACTTCACCTGGATCAGTACGCTTACTCACTGATGATGCAAGATGACGACCATGAGAAACCTGTTTTACCAGTTTACGAAACCCGTCCAACTGCTTCACGACAGAATTCCTCTTAGCACTAGCAATTTCTTCTGTCTCCATTAGTAGATCATTGCATCTCTTATCTAAAGCAGCTTTAAGCTCTTCAAACCTTTCCTTGATTTCCTGCCTTACTTCTTCTTTACGTGTTACTATCTGCTCTAGCATCTTCTCTCCATTAGCAATAGCTTCAGTGACTGGAGGAATGACTCCATCACAACTAGCAACACTTTCCTTTAATGCTTTACGTGCTGTTTCACATTCTTCATTATATCCTTTGTACTGGTGGCCTTGATGGTTAAGAAGAATGCAATCGCGACAGACCAGTTTTTCACAACTTTGACAATAAAATTTCTTTTTTTCATCAGAATGCTCAGCACAATAAACAGCTTTATGGCTAATGGGCAATTCAAAAGATTCTTTCTTGCCCAAATCAATTAACTTGTGATCAGCTTTCTTCGGTTTTCGCTTATGACTTTTCTTACAATGATCACACAGAAACTGGCCACAGTCACAGCAATACACGACAGCTGCATCACTCGAATCATCAACGCTACATTTATCACACGATATTGCTTCCTTGTTGATGATCTTCTTTTTGATTGAAGCCTCTTTTGATTTATGTTCAAACCAAAGGTTTTGAGTGATGCCTTCAATTTTACCATCAGGTAAATTAACGCTAGTGTCACACGTTGGACACTTTAATGAGGTATCAGCACTACCTTGCTTCTCTTTAGCTTTTATTAGACACTTCTTACAGAATGAGTGAAGACAGGGAAGCATGAGGGGGTCAGTGTAATACTCTGAACAAACCTCACAAGTCATAGTGATAGCTGGACTGGTGTTTTCTGCCATTGCTGCCTATGAGAAAGTGAATAATCTCACTATTACTGACAATAAACAACTCACTTAATCTGATATAAAAATTCCTGCGCTATTTTTCTTGTAAGTAAAAGTCGAGCCGCAAGAGTAGATGATGTTGTAAGAAAGAAGAGGCCCATAGATATTAGAGTAAATGAAAGGGATAGGAAACTTCCGTTCCCGGGAAATCAAGCTATTTACCCTAGAAAGCGGAGGAATCCGGATACTAGTATACTCTAC